TCCTGCAATCGTGTTGTCGTCAATGTATCCCTGAACACTGAGGACTCGTGGGATACGATTCATATAGTGATATATCGGGTCCATTGCCAAGCAGAATAGGAACACTGAGAAAGACCTTCCCATATCAACTCCCACATGCACCGCCCTAGGCGGCAGCAATCTGCCTTGAACTTTATGGCGGATGAGTCTTCCAAATAGGATATATTTGGCATAGTTACATACCCATGTCGGCGCGTTGCGCATTCGCAGGATATGTAGGATCCAGTAGGGATTAACCCGCTCAAAGGCCTTTGATAGATCAACTAGCAATGCGGCCACGGGAGTATTGCTATCCAGTAAGGCTTGTATGGCATGGACAGCATGCTGCGGTTCTTTGAAGCAATTCATGACGACCTGCGAAGGATGCATATAGGTACAAGTTGCTTTCATGACTACAGCAGCAATAGTGCCATCAACAAGCCTATCACAGGTATTGGGCATTCCTAAGGGCCTGAAATAATCAGCAGTCGGGCCTACTTTTGCCTTGGGTATCCAAACCCCTACTTGTACAGGTGCAGCTCGGAGGCCTGCTAGCATTTTCATCATCAGCTGATCTAGGACTGGGTAGCTATCTTCAGGGGAAAGCCTCCATGCAGAGTAAGGGATTCCATCAGGGCCAGGGGCTGAATCTTTAGTGCCAAGGAGCGTATGGAGAAAATCTTGTTTCTGGGGAAGTTCAATACTCGGCCACGACGAAGCAGTCTGATACTCCCGTAAAATGGGTTCCCATTCTTGAAGAGAATCTTGAGGCTTTACAAACCAAAAGTTCCGCGTGTCAAGCATGGCTTCATCCAGCATCTGGGAGGTGGTGCACTGTTCTCCCTGCTGATTGAGGATCGGCCCATTATAAATGACGCCCTTGGGGCAAATGGATCGCAAACGGTTCCAGAACGTAATGTTATTGCCGATACCTCTGGCTTGTTGATTTACCTGCTCAAGAGCAGGATATTGCCGAGTCATCGTGATCTGGTCTAAAAAATCAAAAATTTGTTTCAACAGATCACTTCGAATTGTAATTTTTCCTGGATATAGCTCACTGACACCGCTGGAAGTGAATATATGGTAAGTGGCAGCCTGGAGTGCATGGAAATGCTTTGCAGGTACGTGTAACACCTCAGCTCGAATTTTAAGGAATTTCCTTAGAAGTTCATGCTCAGGAATTCGAGGGTGATCCGATGGAATAGGTTGTTGTCTCCACCAGGACCAAAGGGTGGACACAAACTCAACTTCATCAGTTTGGGGTAGTCTTTGGATCCTTCGTATCAGCTCTTGTAGGTCATTAGGAACCATGTAGGGGTCAGCCTCGTTCTTTCCAGGGCAAAACACGTTAGTTGGGATGGTTTGATGGACAGGGTCTTTCATATCACTTTTGACTCTTGGTCGAACAACAAAGGTCGCAGTGAGCTGGTAATGTCCACTTAGGTGATGTCGCCTATTGGCTGCTACCACAACATCGATTTGGGCAGCAGCTATATAATCAGTGGGACATAATACTCTGTCGAGTGCTGAACTTCCAGTAGGGCTTTCAAAAGTGTGAAGTTGCGGATGCGTGTCAAGAACTTGCGCGTGGACTAATAATTCATTCCAAAGGTCCGGGCAGCTGGCATCCACTTGGTTGAAATCTCCCCCCATATAAAGGGGAAAATCTACTTTACTGGTCTTGACCCAGGTGATTAATTCTTTTAGCTCATCGACCTTGGTTTGTGGATGTAGATACACTGACAAGAGTCCGATGGTAGAATATCTGTCTTGAATGACGGCAAGGACAATGCGACCTGGTATGACAACTTCCGTTCGGTCAAGTTTCCACCCTGGTGGAAATAGGGCTGCAGAACCACCCGACACTCCACCTCTTTCTGTTAACAATCCTTGGGTGTGTGCAACTTGAATACCTGGTATATTATGGTGCAAGACCTGATGGGTTTCAGCATGCCATCTGGTTTCTTGTAGTAAGACCGGGCCTGTTCGTAGAAGTCGTTTAATGAGTCGCATTTTGGTATCGCCTGCTCTAGTTGTAAGTGTCCATCCTGATATATTCCACACGTGTAATCGTTTAAGCCTGAATGGCAGATCTTGTCTGATAGCTTTTCGATATTCGAGAATGCTTCTTCCTATCTCTTCTACTGCAAGAGAAGATAACGTTCTGGAGTCAAACATAAGTTGCTGATAGAATTCATCAACACACTGATGGAAAAGGGTGGCAACATGTTGCAGGGTTAACTGCCACCATGGTGTTCGGACATGAAGTATATGGGGCAATATTGATAGGTCACGTATTTTGGACAGATATGGCGGGCATTGCGCCCCTGTTTCGAATAGGTACGTCGTTTTGACACATCGCGTAAGCATCTTGAGCAGTGTACGGAGCAGCGGAGCAGGCAAGTTTCGCAAGATCATCATCATTACAATTACAAATGATCAGTTTACTCCCTCCGTTGGGGCTTCTCCCAGTGCGAAAAGCAGCCTGCTCCACTCCTCCGTACCTGCAAAGATGAGATATTCTCCTGATGGATCTAGTGTATTCGATTGTATAAGTTGAGTTCCAAGTTGCCTGGGCATTCGTCGCATAGACAATGGCTGCGTATACCACATTGGTGACCAAACAACAGGGGCAGCAACTTTGTACGCAACAAAGGACGTAGATTCTGTAAGAGTTTGAACTTGGTGATTGTCTACAACATGTATAGCGATCCATTGTGGAGTGGCACCACTGACATCTCGTGCTAATACACCTATAATACTTAAGCTACCTGTGCCATCCAGACCACCAAGTAAATGGATGACAGTGCCGGCGGGCGAGGCGTTGTGCATAAAGCACTGCGGGGCACCAAGTGTGTGCAAATAACACAAGGCACAAAAAGGGCACTGTAAAGCCGCATATTCACTGAGATGTATGTAGTGCTGTCCGTTGTCAATTCGAGCAAGTATAGGTTAGGTCACAAATGTATGATAAGAAAGTTGCACCACATCAGCTAATATCTTTGGGATGTTGGAATGCATGAGAAGGTCTTTACTTTGTCGGTAGTCGAATGCGACCGTTCCGAAGCGAAACGGTTGATCAGGCTCATGAGAAAGCAATAAGAATAGCAGGCAAGGTCGCTGCACTCCAACATAGATAAGGGGAGGTTGCATAATTTTTGGTGCCCAAATGATAAAACCGTAGGGAAATTGGTGCTTTACACTGAGCGCTGCAATTTGGAAAACAACGAAAGTTGCTTGATAGCAGTAAGTTGTTCAGCACCTGTATATTCCTTCAATAGTTCAATATGCTTTGCTTTAATCTCTTGAGCTTCGGCATGAAATCCAAGTCCATTTCTAACAGCCAAATGAAGCATATGTGCTGACAGGGTAACATTTTCATATGTGTTTGAGGACTCTAGCACCCAATCAATCCGAGTTTGGGTCATAATATTGCTCAGCTCTTTATCCCCAAAGGGGGGGTCTATTCGCACTGTGGGTTCCTTGATACTTCGGAGGTTTGGATCCTTGTAAAAAGGCGAAAACTGTCGGCTGGTGCACTACTGGAGGGCAAGCGGATTCGACACTGTCATTGAGAGTATAGTGCCTCCATTTCGCTTCAAAGTCAACTTTGTCGTCCTTGAGTTGAACTCCTCGAGCAGCTGCTTGTTCCAAAACCAGTTTCAGCAAGTCTTGGTATTTGGAATAGACTTCTTGAATACTCGGTAGGTCTTTGTGATACGGCTGCGCATCATTGCTTCCCTCAACCCACCGTTGTAGCTGATCATCCGTACCGAGGGCCGCACTGATGAGAGATGGGTGAAAGCTATTTCCACAAAAGTCTCGAATCACTTTGTCCGTGAGAAGAGAGGGCCCATGTCTTTCTGTCGTTAAGATATTCTCCAGTCCAGCTAATTTGCGTACTTCTCGGACAGTCAGAATTCTCATTGGCAGCACAATATTTGGATTATGAAAGATAGGCACAAGTTGTTCAATGAGTTCATCTTTCTTGGATGTGGTCGCTCTATCCGTTTGAAGAGTAATATGGAAACGTTTCCATATGGAGAGAAAATGCGCAGGAATGAAGCTTGCCCACGGCAAGTCTGGGACCTTAACTCCCTCAGCCATTTGGGTTAGCAACATGAAAGATTTCCTCCCACCAAAGAAGGAATAGTCCCATAGGAGTGCACTGGGCTGGTACCCTGTCCAGGAAAGCTTCAGGACTCCATTGCTTGACAGCCCTCTTGCTCGGAGTAATGGAGCCAATGGTAAGTTTTCACCGTTCAAAGTCACTAAAGGGCCCCATTCATCGATAATTGCGAGCGGAACACTGTCCAGTTTCTCAGTGTCCATGTGACTCCGTAGAAAGACCCTTTTTCGCTGGATGCCATAATAGGGACCAGTGTCCCATACCCACCGATTGGTTGGTTGCTTACTAGGAAGTCCAAGACAGTATAGAAACATTTGGAAGTGTTCAGACTGTTCAAGGCGCTGCATGCTTTTAGGTTTACGGTCAGTTTGCACAATCTGCATGCTTCCAGCATTCTCTGTCAAGTATCGGACCGATTCTGGTCCAAATAGCTTCTGAAGATGTAGGATTACAAGGTAAACAACAAAAAAGAGCATACTTCGCTTACCTGTCAGTCCGAGCAATCCATTTAAGTACCCTGCATAAGTAAGATCTTGACAGGGAGATCCTGCAACAACAATCCACTTGATAGTAGGGTACATTGCCTTGGCTTGACGAAGGATCAGCGAGTCACGGGCAACAAGATCCCATACATCTTTCACGTAGATGGTAGCAACCCCTTCAATCGTATAAGCCCACTGTTGGTCTTCACGTAGCCCTATTTCGGCAGCAACAAGCCGACGTAAGACAGGATCAATTTCTGCTGCAATGAAGATAGTAGGGGGTTTACCTAATTTTTTCTTAATGATGTGATAGACAGATCCAACTCCATCAAACATCGAGATACCGTTCCAAAAGGTGTTTCCACAGCAGTTTAATCCAATGTTCTAATGGGTTTGCCTTTGTACAGCCGAACATGACCTTTGGCCGCTGGCTGCTTCCAATGCACATAGGACAGAACATCCAGCTTACTTCTTCCCTTAGGGAAAATGTCGCGGGCCTCCGACTCAGTCGGAGGCCCTGGTGGGATGGTCGGTACACTTGGCCAACCGAATTCAAAGAGTAAAGATTGACACACATCCTTTTGCCAATTCGAAGCACCAACCTTGGCGAAGGCCCGGCTCCATTTCACAGCTGGTAGAATTGATTGTAAAGATGAACCCAAGATCTCCAGCCATTGGGCAGGCGAAATCTTTCCGTCCACACTCATTGATTGCTGTGAACGATATAGCTCTGCGATTTTCTCCTTCAGCCGCGAAAATAGATCTGTGTCTGCTGGTTGAAGGCAACGTGTGAGCCCAGCTGCAATGTAGACCAAACGAATATGGTTGAGCTTCGCTTGCCTTTTAATGGAACCGTGCAAGTGAGAAGGCGCGCAATCTAGAAGTAGTGCATAGTCACGGCCCAGAGCTGCAGCCTTGAGCTTGAATCCAAGCAAAGAAATATATCGTCTCAGTGTAGCATGGCATGACCAAGCGCTTTTCTGGGTCCAAACGGACAGATTGCCCCTGAGTTTCTCCACTTTGGCCTTCTTTCCAAGAAACCGACCGTTCGTGAGGAGAACCTGCGGAAGGAATGGCTGCACAGACGTGTCATTGCAAATCGTGCACATCAATGTGAACCGACCCCGCGTCTCAGCCAAAGATGCGGCATCTACAGCCTTGTGCCCTGTGAAGCCCCGGGCGGCAGTGCCAACCTTCGCGGTTGGCTTCAAAGCAATGGAAGTTTCGTCCATGTTCAGCAAGAGAAGAGGACCCGAGCTGCTTGATTGTGCATGAACGTAGTTGCTCCATCTCCAAAAAGCTTTCGCCTGCCGACTGTAGGGTCAAAAAATGGTCCCTTCTGGGAGATCATGAAATTGACCCTCTATTAAACACAAGCAAGGGAGGGCCCAAAAACGGTCCCTCCAGGAGGGTCCAAAAGTGGCCCCCAGAAATCGACCAAAAATACCTTTTTGACAAAAACAATCCATATCGAATCTTTTCTCATTTCGACCATCCAAAACAATGACTTTCTCCCGCCTTGCGCTGCATGTCTGCTAGAGGCATCACTGCCTGCACACGCACGCGGCCCAACTGTAGACCATGTTCAAAACGAAAGCGGCGCAACCACTTTCTTTGTGACCTTGCGCGTCCATTGCCTTTCCAGTACTGCTCCAGCATGGCTGCCACATCATGCGGCAAATCCTTTGGAGTCAGCCTGCACGCTTCTGCTACTAATTGTTGCCTCCCAGGTGCAACCCCTTTCTTGTTTTGGGCAAGCAGCCACGTGTATAGCTGCGTTTCAACTATAAAGCGACCCGCCGCAAACAAGTCACGACGGTGGCGTGGGCATGTGGGACTATCTAAGAGGCCCACAATGGTTTCGAAAGGCACCTGCAAATAGGCATCTTCAATTGCAGAAGCTAAAGAATTTGACAAGGAAGCCTCTGCCACATTCAACTTGTTCTTGGCCGCCAAAAAGCGTGCAGCACAAGCAGAATTTCTGCCGCTCAACTCGAAAACAGCCAAAACAGATGTTGCAGTAGGCTGTACTTTGAGCATCACATGCTCTCGGGGGTCGCTAGTTCCTTCCTCCTTGGCAAGCTCAAGTCTTTTGCGTCTGCACAATCTTCTCTGCAAAGCTCGCAGGTGCTGAACGACACTTTTCAGCTCACCACCCACAGCGGCCATGGCTGCCACGAATGCATACGGAAATTGGCCTGGGCTTGACATCGACAAAAGCAGCCACACAAGACACATGTGCACAAAGGCAAATAGCTTCGAAGAACATCGCAAACCCTATGTCATATGATAGGTATGTCAACCTTTGAGTCAACACTTCGCCGATACTTTGCACTAACAAAGCATGGTTTTGCGAAGAAGCGGTTGCAGCACAGTTCCAAAAGGTGTTTCCACAGCAGTTTAATCCAATGTTCTAATGGGTTTGCCTTTGTACAGCCGAACATGACCTTTGGCCGCTGGCTGCTTCCAATGCACATAGGACAGAACATCCAGCTTACTTCTTCCCTTAGGGAAAATGTCGCGGGCCTCCGACTCAGTCGGAGGCCCTGGTGGGATGGTCGGTACACTTGGCCAACCGAATTCAAAGAGTAAAGATTGGCACACATCCTTTTGCCAATTCGAAGCACCAACCTTGGCGAAGGCCCGGCTCCATTTCACAGCTGGTAGAATTGATTGTAAAGATGAACCCAAGATCTCCAGCCATTGGGCAGGCGAAATCTTTCCGTCCACACTCATTGATTGCTGTGAACGATATAGCTCTGCGATTTTCTCCTTCAGCCGCGAAAATAGATCTGTGTCTGCTGGTTGAAGGCAACGTGTGAGCCCAGCTGCAATGTAGACCAAACGAATATGGTTGAGCTTCGCTTGCCTTTTAATGGAACCGTGCAAGTGAGAAGGCGCGCAATCTAGAAGTAGTGCATAGTCACGGCCCGGAGCTGCAGCCTTGAGCTTGAATCCAAGCAAAGAAATATATCGTCTCAGTGTAGCATGGCATGACCAAGCGCTTTTCTGGGTCCAAACGGACAGATTGCCCCTGAGTTTCTCCACTTTGGCCTTCTTTCCAAGAAACCGACCGTTCGTGAGGAGAACCTGCGGAAGGAATGGCTGCACAGACGTGTCATTGCAAATCGTGCACATCAATGTGAACCGAGCCCGCGTCTCAGCCAAAGATGCGGCATCTACAGCCTTGTGCCCTGTGAAGCCCCGGGCGGCAGTGCCAACCTTCGCGGTTGGCTTCAAAGCAATGGAAGTTTCGTCCATGTTCAGCAAGAGAAGAGGACCCGAGCTGCTTGATTGTGCATGAACGTAGTTGCTCCATCTCCAAAAAGCTTTCGCCTGCCGACTGTAGGGTCAAAAAATGGTCCCTTCTGGGAGATCATGAAATTGACCCTCTATTAAACACAAGCAAGGGAGGGCCCAAAAACGGTCCCTCCAGGAGGGTCCAAAAGTGGCCCCCAGAAATCGACCAAAAATACCTTTTTGACAAAAACAATCCATATCGAATCTTTTCTCATTTCAACCATCCAAAACAATGACTTTCTCCCGCCTTGCGCTGCATGTCTGCTAGAGGCATCACTGCCTGCACACGCACGCGGCCCAACTGTAGACCATGTTCAAAACGAAAGCGGCGCAACCACTTTCTTTGTGACCTTGCGCGTCCATTGCCTTTCCAGTACTGCTCCAGCATGGCTGCCACATCATGCGGCAAATCCTTTGGAGTCAGCCTGCACGCTTCTGCTACTAATTGTTGCCTCCCAGGTGCAACCCCTTTCTTGTTTTGGGCAAGCAGCCATGTGTATAGCTGCGTTTCAACTATAAAGCTACCCGCCGCAAACAAGTCACGACGGTGGCGTGGGCATGTGGGACTATCTAAGAGGCCCACAATGGTTTCGAAAGGCACCTGCAAATAGGCATCTTCAATTGCAGAAGCTAAAGAATTTGACAAGGAAGCCTCTGCCACATTCAACTTGTTCTTGGCCGCCAAAAAGCGTGCAGCACAAGCAGAATTTCTGCCGCTCAACTCGAAAACAGCCAAAACAGATGTTGCAGTAGGCTGTACTTTGAGCATCACATGCTCTCGGGGGTCGCTAGTTCCTTCCTCCTTGGCAAGCTCAAGTCTTTTGCGTCTGCACAATCTTCTCTGCAAAGCTCGCAGGTGCTGAACGACACTTTTCAGCTCACCACCCACAGCGGCCATGGCTGCCACGAATGCATACGGAAATTGGCCTGGGCTTGACATCGACAAAAGCAGCCACACAAGACACATGTGCACAAAGGCAAATAGCTTCGAAGAACATCGCAAACCCTATGTCATATGATAGGTATGTCAACCTTTGAGTCAACACTTCGCCGATACTTTGCACTAACAAAGCATGGTTTTGCGAAGAAGCGGTTGCAGCACCTGGGGGGGGCCTCCATTTGTCTCTCCGGTTTTGCGTGGGTTTTGTAGGCCCAAAAACAGACACTCAGTCTTGCCCATAAATCAACTTCCATTCTTGCTAATGTTTCACCCCTGGTTTCCTACACCTATGGATTCGCTTCCCATTTTGTTGTCCATGGGTTTTTCCCTCCTTTAAAATCTTTGGTTTCCCATTTGCAATCGTCATTGCAGGCGTTACTTCATGAGGAACTCAGTGAAGTCAAGAGGCGCCGCACGGAACTGAAAGCGGAGCTGCGCGCGGCCTCCAAAGAGGACAGGAAACTCCGCAAGCGTCGTGCAAACCTTGTCAAGGCCTGCAATTCTTGCATTCGGGCATGCAGTTCTTGCATGTCGCCTGGTTGTGAAGCAGTGCGCTTTCAGAATGTGGGGGCTGTTGAGCGCAGGCAGCTAAGAACCTTTCACGCGAAGACATAGAGAAGCTGTTGGAGAACCAGGGTGCCCGGCCGTGTGTTTTGTTCCCCACTAGTGGTCCTTTGGTGGTATGAGCATAGCCACAGTCCGGGCAACCTTCGTGTTGTAATTTTTGCAAGTGCATATGCTTTGAAATCCTTTTTTCAAAGGGTTTGGGTTTGAATCGCTGTGGCAGCAAAACAGTTTTACTGAATCTTGCTGCGTTTGCCAGCGCAGGTGGGCCAGCAGAACCTGCTGCAGGTGGTGCTGCTGGTGGATGACTGCTACCAGCTGTGACATGGAGCTAACCGCCTTCAAATCCGCAAAAGGATGTGAGCTAATCGCAACGGCTTTTGTTTGGCCAAGTGTACCAGGCATCTCACTGCCGCCGCTGACTGAGTCGGAGGGCCGCAACATTTTCCCTAAGGGAAGAAGTAAGCTGGATGTGGCAAAACATTTTGCAAGTGTGCTGCAACCGGTTCCAAGCCGTGCCACAACATGCATGAGCCAAGCGGGTAACATGTTGTCACTTGCTGCCTTGCGATTGTGCCTGAAAGAGCCCCCTTACCATTTCCACAACTAAAAGGGTGAACACGTGCTGGATACCATCCCCTGTTACGGGGAGAATTCATGCAACAAAAACGGATTCCTGCACTGGTTTTTGTAGTAAGAGGGCATGCGCTGCATCTTGTAGCGGCTTGTCATTTTTTTCGAAAAAAGCACTTGAAAATCGGAAATGCATTTTGTAGTGATTTTTGTTAGGATGCTTTGACAGAATGCACGCAGGGATCCTGAAATGCTTTCTGTTCAAGACACCGCGGCTGAAATGCTTGCAACAGAGCAACTGTGGCACATTGTGGCATTCAAACCAACGTACGTCAAAAATGATCGGATTATTTAAATACTTGAAAATTGTAGCTGAAATGAGAAAGTCCTGGAGCTAGACCTTGGATCATTTTTCGACAGCTTCGCTTTGATGTTCATTTTTGACTAGGTTTTCATGGTGTTTTGACTGGGTTGTCACCGGGTTGTCCTAATGCTGCAGTGAACGGGCAGACCTTGCATTTCTAGTAGGATGTGGCCATGAACTGCATGGACGGAGCGTCTTGCTTGGCCAGCGGTACTCACTTGCTACTAAGCGGCAAGGGGTTGCCATACCACCACCAAATTACCGAATCTCTTATTTGACAACGGCTTCATGGTATTGAATTCCAGCCGACTGTTCAGCGATGCGGCCAGCAGGAAATATTAGGCAACATGTCATTTGCATGTTTCAGATGTTTCAGATTCTGTTCCAGTGTTGGATTCATAAGTTGAGGCATGGACGGCTAGCGGCTAGCATGGTCTCATGATGTAAGGTACTCTCCAGGAGATGTTGGTTTAAAGATCTACGTCTCTGGAATCAATGTGGTTCAACCGAAAGCCACGCTTCCAAGCATTGCAGAGTTCCTTGGAAAATATCTGTTTACGGCAAGTTTGAAACATCCACTTCACAGCTGGACATGGTTCGATGTTGTTGCTGGTTTAAGGTTCGTGCTGACATGCCCGAGCTGCTCAAAGGTCAGTTGCTCAAGATGATTTGGAAGAGATTTGGTCGGTGATTTGTCTTTGTCTAATTTGTGTGCTAAAAGATGGTGACCATGACAAAAATCGATCGTACTGTGCACCTGTAATTCAATGATTGGAGTGATTTGGGACATTCAAGTTTGCTGTGGGGGTGTCCCAAGGACACTACTGTATTTTTGGCCAGCAGCTGCACTGAGACAGAGGCGCATTTGTGGTTACGTACAAAGAACAAGACATCCATGGCATTACTTTGGTCCATCTAAGTTTTTGTTGACATGCTGCATTACTACACCTTGTGTGTATGTAACCCAGTCGTTTCATGACAATAATATCATTCCTATATACTGTATACATTCCTATGATATGCAGAGTGCTTGTTTTCGGGCGCTGGGAGCAAATGAGGGTAAACTTAAGAAGAAATATATGGTGACCGATCTAAAGGTCCTTGTAAGGAGTTTTAATTGCGAAAGCCGTGCATGTTATGTTGGAAACCCTCGCGAAAGTTCGAGTTCGCGAAAGTAAAATTTTATTTCGCGAAAGTTTCGCGAAAGTTGGGTATTATAATAAATATGTAAAGGGCTGCCACCCACTGCCGCCCGGGGTCCGGCAGGAGAAGGGCACCAGAGAATGCGAGTAGCAGTAGCCAAGTTTCCAAAAGTGAGGCTTTGCGAGAGCCAAGCACCAAGGCCCCTGGTCTTCGCTTTTCCTTCAGTGCACCCCCTGCTGATGGCCGGGGTCTGTGAATAGGGATATTTTCGCGAAAGGTCCGCGAAAGTTATGCGAAAGAGCGGGCGAAAGTCAAAGTGCATGTTGAAGGGGGTGGGCCAGTAAACTTTGCAAAAGAAAGTCTGTCCTGAGAAGGGATTCCGTGATGCTAGCTGCATGTTTAAAAGGCTACCAAGAAGTGATCCGTGATTCTCTGGCGTAATTTGGCAGGTGGTGAACGAATCTTCATAAGAGGTGTTGTTGGCCAACATGGGCCCCGCGAAAGATAAACATGGAATTCGCGAAAGTTTCGCGAAAGTAAAATTTTTATTCGCGAAGAATGGCCGTTCCGGGAGAAAGGAATTTTGATCAACAACCATATAGAGATCCTTGATGATCCTCGTCAGTCCAGCAACCAGCTGTTTCGCCATTTGCAGGAGTTTGTTCAACTTTGTTCGAGCTTCATCTTTTGAGAGATGAAGATGCCTTTTGTGCCGGCTTGCCCGAGCTGCTCAAAGGTCAGTTGCTCAAGATGATTTGGAAGAGATTTGGTCGGTGATTTGTCTTTGTCTAATTTGCGTGCTAAAAGATGGTGACCATGACAAAAATCGATCGTACTGTGCACCTGTAATTCAATGATTGGAGTGATTTGAGACATTCAAGTTTGCTGTGGGGGTGTCCCAAGGACACTACTGTATTTTTGGCCAGCAGCTGCACTGAGACAGAGGCGCATTTGTGGTTACGTACAAAGAACAAGACATCCATGGCATTACTTTGGTCCATCTAAGTTTTTGTTGACATGCTGCATTACTACACCTTGTGTGTATGTCACCCAGTCCTTTCATGACAATAATATCATTCCTATATATTATATATTGTATACATTCCTATGATATGCAGAGTGCTTGTTTTCGGGCGCTGGGAGCAAATTTGGGTAAACATAAGAAGAAATATATAGAGATCCTTGAGGATCCTCGTCAGTCCAGCAACCAGCTGTTTCGCCATGTGCAGGAGTTTGTTCGAGCTTCATCTTTTGAGAGCTGAAGATGCCTTTTGTGCCCGCTTGGCAGCTGCAAGTTCTTCAATCGGCAGTCCAGCAACCAGCTGTTTCGCCATTTACAGGAGTTTGTTCAACTTGTTCGAGCTTCATCTTTTGAGGATGGACACATGGCTGAGACAAAGAACGTGAAACGACTGATGCCATGTTTTACACATACTCATTCAACAGGATTTCAGACGTTCTAATCCATTACATGTTTTCTGTGACATCCGTGGGATGTGAAAAAATTAGCGAGTCAAGCATAGCCCCTGCGCAAACGAACAACGCAAAGAGCGCTGAACGATCTATAACTCCCAAAGAACGATTGCATGGAAATCAGTTCATGTGTGAAAGCATGCTGGAATGTGAAGAGTTGGTGTACACGACATGATGGTGGATACCTGTTCTAGAAGCATCTAGATCATCTAGGCTCTCAGTTGTGGGGTATACGTCATGCCCAGCTCACACAATGGAAGATGTGCAAAAGCATGCTGACATTCTTGATCCTGGCCAATTTCTTGATCTCTGATTACTGCAAACGGCTTTGTATCCAATCACGTATTGTTATGTGGTAACTGGCTGGATTTGGATGCTCTTTTGTCTCCCCATTGTTGAAGCCGTCCGGATGAGCGTTTTGTACTTTCGTGCTTTCATGCAAGCAGTGACGATGACAACAGGACTCCTTTCCAACTTTCCTTGGTTCATGCCGTTTTCCCAAAAATCATTCCCTCTTTGAACAACAACGAAAATGAACATTGAACCGATCAGCATTTCTTGACAAAATGTCCTTCGTTGATGGATATCGGATAGCCCAGATGCGAAAAGATTCTTGAGATGATTCTTTGCCGTTCAATATTACCACTTGCTTATTGCGATCTTTTCGCTGCTATGCATATTCTTTCGCAGCGCTCCATTACTTCAGCCAATTCCGGTTCAGCTCGAGCACAACTGCACCTGCAGGTCCGATTTGACGATCTTTATCCTAGTTGAAGATAGCCAAGGCAAAGGCGTTGGACAATGTCGATGGTTTGCTGCGGACGCTGGCCAGTGAATGAAAGGAATGGAGCATGTCGCTGTGAGAGCTCATCCGGACTTCTTCCAACACACTGAATTCAGCTTGTTTCTGAGCTTGAGAATGGATGGTGCAATTGTGATTTGCAGTTGCAGGTGCAGGTATCATACCACAGCTGGAGCGTTGTAAAAGAAAGCGCAGGGCAACATTTGCGGGAAACAGTTCATCAGAGCGCTGCATGGGTGCAGTGAAGCCACACATCCAATGCAATCATCACCAAAGGATAGCAAATCTCCAGGCTTTCCCCACAAGCAGAGAAGAGTCATATACGGAGTTTGGTCATACTTGCTTTCCTCGTTCGGCGAAGGTACCTGGACTATTGGCATAGCCTGCGCATCGGACCTGCTGGTTGAGGCCAGGATGATTTCGCAGAAGCCACTCAATGCGCAAGCTACATGCGCCACCAATTTGTGTCGCCACGGTTCAGAGTGCTGCATTCTCCAGCATGCCTCCTCCATCTACATTCTCCTCCCCCGTGCCCCCACCCAACAAAGATGCTCAAAGTTGTCCGTCGAATGCGCTGTGGCTTTGAAATGCAGACTTCTGGCCCAAGAGAT